TAACAAACTTTTCAAAGAAGGAGCCAGCTAAGCTCACCTGTTACTATCGGACGAAAGTTTTTTGGCCAACTCCAGCGGGCGGCTGGTAGGCGTGGGCATAGGAGTGGGCTCGTTCTCAGAACGACTCGAGTCTGTTCTATCCGTTGAGTCATCTGTAAATGTAGTTGCAACTGTCAGAGAGTCGGTCCTCTATGGTCAGTCAGTCCACTATATCAGTGCCTCAACTTACCTTGAGGCAAACTCAGTGCCTCTCGAACTCTGTCTACGAGTGCGTTAAACACAGGATACTGTTCCTTATTTGGCTTCGGGCCGATCGGAAGTAATCTGAAGGAGAATGATTCATTATAACTGGGTAACTATCATATGAGTATGATATTCAGTAGTGACCTCTCCTGCGGCGGGATGTGGAAGGGCTGGTGGGGGTGCTGGGGGCGGGGGTGCGGCGGCATGCTCCACGCCACCTCCATCTTGGACAGCGGCGACTCGGGCGACGCGTACGCCAGACCTGCACACATCAAATGATTCCTCTCTTTTCTTCTTTTATGTTGCTTGAAGACATTACTTCTGTTTACTTCAGTGGATATTTGAAAGCGGAAACTAGGTGTTCTGAGAAGACAGTTTATCAGTACCTGGGCTACGCAGATGGTGTTGTTGGGGAGCGGGACCAAGTGCATCACCATTAGACGACGGCGCAGTGTCAGGAGATGTGCTGCTGCCTGCTGTTTTCAAAGAGTTATTTGTCTTACGAAGTGGTTATTAATAATAGACAGTTTTATAAGAAAATCGTTATTTATTAATATTTGATTTACCAACGACCCTCTTCTGCTTGCCGAGCATGTTGGCGCGCGGAGAGGTCTGGCTGCACTGGTCGGGCCACACCTCCACTGATTGTCCGCTCATCGGCGTTGATTTTCTTTACGAAACATTATTTTATTATACTTATATGTTTTTCACCTATTTTTATTAATCCAGCCGAGTGGTACCTACAAGTTGGAAGAATCACTGCCGATGGAGACAGAAGAGCTGGTGGAGAGATGATGACCTGACCGTGCTCCACTCACCGGCT